ATATAATTTCATGAAATAGGTGAAACACCCTGTCACCTGGCCTTTGGTACTGAACCAGTCATTCCTATTGAAATAGGAGTCCCAAGCTTCCGGGTCACCCATTTCGATGAAGGACGAAATGGACAACTGCTTCGGGAAAACCTTGATCTGCTTACCCAAGTCAGAGAAGAAGCACGGCTTCGAACTCTTGTATACAAGCAGAAATTAGCCAACTTCTACAATAAACGAGTTCACCCTCGAACGTTCAAAGTAGGAGACCTTGTTCTCAGAAAGGCTGGCCTAACAAGGTTTGAAACTCGTTTTGGCAAACTAGCCCCAAACTGGGAAAGTCCTTATACAGTGGCGGAAGTGCCACATCCTGGTGCTTATATCCTCCAAGACGTTGAAGGGAGGAGAGTTCCTAGAGTCTGGAATATCAATAACTTGAAGAAATTTTACCCATAATAAAATTCTTTCAAGTGATCTATGTTCTTTACACTTCTTACTTCGTGATTGTCGAAATTCATTTTATCTCTTATTCTATGTACCCGAGGTCAATCAATTCATTCATTCCTTGAACCTCACTCCTGTTAATGAATGTCACTTCACATATGAAGTGCTTTATTTCCTTTTAATTCATTTGAAGTGATGTACTTGTTCTTAATTCATTTGAAGTATTTTACTTCTCCTTAGTTCATTTCCGAAGTAGTTAACTTCTTTTTATCTTTGAAATGATTAACTTTCCTTCAAAACATATCTCAAGTAATCTCAGTTCTTCTATTAATAAAAATAACAAAAATGTAAAGCAAACACAACATATAATTTTAAAACTGAATTTTAATTCAAAGAAAAACAGTATTACAACAGATTGTTTTACTGTTGTTCTAATAAAAACATCAAAGGAAAAACAACAAACAAAAATTATTCCTCCACTGGAAGAGGTGGCTCAACTGGCTCCTGTTCAGCCAGAAGAGGTGGCTGTGTTGGTTGCTACTCGTCTAGCAGAGGAGGCTGCTCATCGTCAGAAGGAACTGGATGAATCTCCACTTCTGGAATTGGTTGGCTCTCATCCACTTCAGTTCCTTCCATTCCTGCCTCCACTTTGTCGTCCTCTACCTCTGCCCTTTCTTCCTCCACTGCAACGAACTCAAAGTTGAACTTTGGAGGGAAAACAACGCATCCATCTGCATCATGCTCCCACCTCAGTTTGATCTGAGGACGGAAGTTTGCTGACTTGCTCTCACCGTTCTCCTCCACTCCTTCTTCTTGCTCACCGAAGGTGATCTTTGTAATATCTACTTCGGGATATTCAGCCTTCACCTTCTTTCTGCAGTCAGTGAAAGCAATGATGGCAGTTGGTAGCCGGTATAAGTTGACGATGTTGTCAAATGAGCTAAAGCTGATGAAGTTGCTGATGTGCTCCTTCATCCCATTGTGCACCAACATCTGCACATTCTCCTTCAGCTCCATGAAAGCATCCTTCATCAGCGTTATTTCTTTCGCCTAAGCCTCACGCTCGCTTTCAGAGATCCTTCGTTTGCTCTCCTCAAAGACGAGCTTGGTGCTCAGGGAAGCCCTCTCCTGCTCCAACTGTTTCACAGTTGGAACCACATCGTCCAACGCCTCTTACAGTTCTTTATTCTTCTTCTCCAGCTCCTCCTTCTCCTTCTGCAATTGGTCACACTGCCTTTTCAAGAGGGAGCGCTCCTTCACACTATCCATGAACTCCTAGGCTAGACCATTCACCCAGCTCGCGCTCTGCAATTCAAAGCAGAAGTTAAGAGCGAAAGAAGAGAAAAAGAAGGAGATTAAACAAACAAACAACACCAATAACTACAAATAACTTCACATACCTCTAAAACGTGCTTCACCACCGAAGCCCCACAGTACCTCAGAGTTTCATCCCATGCGTGACGCTTGTCCACTTCAGGGAAGGTGGTGTTGATAAACCTCCTCGCCCCCGTCATGTTCTTCGCCTCAAATAGGCTATTCTGAAAGGAAAACGGGGGAATATGACCCTTTCCTTTGCCAGGAGCTCGTACCTCAGCCCCCTCCTCAGATTCCCTGAGCTTAGGGTCGAGCTCAACAGGAGGAGGCCGAGGCACGAATTGGGGAACCTCGTTCCCCCTCTCCTCCTCCTCCACCACTTTCTTCTTCTTCTGTAGTGCCTCTCTCTCATCCCTACTTTTCCTCTTCAACTGCAACTCTAGCTCCTCCTCCTCCACTCCAACTGCAATGCTAGGCACTACCTCCTTTCCAACCTCCTCCCTCATCCACTTGTTTGGTTGAAGCCCTTAACTTCTTCCTTGGCTTCTTAGGGATGGCCGCTCCTCCTGCAACGCCCAAAAATTTTTCCATTTCAGCTGCAGAACAAGAAACACAATATCAATCACACAGTTCTATATTTTACATTCAGTACTACAATGCAAATTAAACCAACCTTCACTTAAAGCGCTTGGCCCATAGAGCTCAGCAGCCTCTATGCATTGTGCGTTGGTGAGGTCCATAATGTTCAGTAAATCCCCCCCTTCCTCACCAACTTCCTCACTTCTTCCTCCTCATCCTCATTTAAGCTAAACCTATTTTGGTTGGCTCTTTTAGCCTTCCAGGATGCTAACTCCCTCACCTCAGTATCCCCCCTCTCCTACTCCATATCATCTACAAAAAAGAATTTTTCCTTCCATCCTTTAATGGATGAAGGACCTGCCGTAAAATAAAGCCCTACTCTCCTTATTAGCTACCCTTGGGGTGAAATAATACCACCCCTTATCCTTCCTACTACCCCCCTTTAAAACAAAAAAGTACTTAAACATATTTACAGTTGACACATTAATCCCCTAAGCTCGGCAATAAACTAGAAATTCTATTATTACCCTCATAACGTTGGGGACTAACTGTGTCAACCCAATGTTGTAATCTAAAAGAATACCCACTAGCAACTCAGGAATTGGAAACCTAAGCCTGGCTATCAAATAGTGGGCATACATGGGCATCTAATGATCCCGAGGAGCAGAACAGGCTCTCTCCTCTACCCCAGCTGGCCTAACTAACACTTGGGAAGAGATCTTGTAATTCTCCACTAAGTGACCCAAGCTATCCCTGGTCCTGAGTTCAAATCTATACTGCTTCACCTCTTCCACTATGTCTACATCTGCGTCATAACCTCTCTCTCCCCTACCCTCTACTTCTACCACAGTGATGGGAACACTATTCCCCCCAACCCCCACCACTTCATTCCCCCCAACCTTCACCACCTCATCTCCTCTTACCCCCTCCACCGTTTTCTCTGAACTAGATGGAGACGAACTACTTTCCGAGTCCATGCTACCATAATCCAGGGGCATCACCTTACTCCCTACTACACTTATTGTTTCTTCTGAAAACATTTTTTCAATCTTTGCACGAAGTAGGGGGGAGGAATGAAGGTCAGGACCCTTTTAAAAAAATAAAAAATAAAAAAAAACCCCCCTCTAACACACATTCAAAATCATTCTCACTTCTAACCCTAGCTTCCTTCAGAGGACTCTAAATCAACCACAAAAAGGGAGAAAGGAGAGTGACACTTCGACTAAACCAAAATCAGAGGTTCGTATACATTACCTGATTTCGGTTTCGAAAGCTTGATGTGGAAATCCCCAAATGATGCAGCAGTTCACGCGCAGGAAGCACACAGTAAAACTTTTGTAGAAATTTTGCAGAAAATGAAATGCAAATAAACTTCTTTCTGCAGAAAAAATGCCTATTTATACCTCCGGGCGAAATTAGATCTCAACAGTTGGGATTCATTTAATCTTACGGTCCTTAGTCACACCGTTTCGAATTCGACAGTCAGCTCCAAACGGCACCGTTTTGAACTCGACGGTTCGTTTTTTAATCTGCCTGTTTAACTGTTGCAATTATCTTTTTACAACTGCATTTATTGCGCACGTCATTCAAAGGACAACTGTCACACTACGTACCGCTCTTTTGTTAAACCTCTCAGACGGGCTCACTTAAGCCCATTTCAACACTCTTGCTCACTTTTACACATTCTCAATTTTTGCAAGTGTTTCACTTCAGCTTCTGCCACAGTAACTCTGCATCTCACATTTCACATCGTCCTCGGCCACAATGACCCAGTGTCACACGTTTCACTTTGGCTCCGACTATTATGACTCCGGTCATTATATCTTATCACAGCTCCGACTACCATGACTCTGGTCATCATCTCTTACTATGGCTACGGCCACATTGACTCCGATCACTATTTTTACCACGACTATGGCCACGACCGCTCCGGTCACACCCTATTTTGGGCATGCCCAGCATGACCCCCTATCACATACTTCGTTATTAGTTACGACTATGTATTCTCTTTGTTTATGCACTCCTCCCATTATCCCCAACAACATCATTCACAAGTGAATGACTTCGGGGGGGAATAGTGTAAGGATAGGTCCGAGGTGCCAAGCCTCGAACTGTTACAGTAATTCCTTTATGATCGAAGTGAAGGATAAATCCAAAACTTCCCGCTCAAATAGCTGCATGACAGTGACAATAAGCATGCCCGTACCTGATTCCTTATGATGAGCTGCACAGCAGGTATGGTGGACGTCCTTGCATCTAAATACCTCTCAAATTCCCGGTCCCGGAATAATCATTTGGATAGACACATTAGGCTTCGATTATTTTGCTTGGCATGCCACGTGGGTTCCTCATTGGATCCTATAAATACCCCCCAAGGGTCACGTCAAAAAGGGAATTGAAACCAACCCTAAGCTCTTTTTATCTCCGCTCTAAAGGTAGCCCCGATTATTGCTGACTTAAGCATCGGAGTGTCTACCCCGAGTTCCACCTTGGGGCTTTGCAGGTCAACCCGTAGTGCAGAAACGGACTGAAGAAGGACTTCTGGTTTGGTGCAATTACAGTTCTCTAAAGTTTTCTCTTCTTCCTTTCACTGTGAATAAAAAGGGGGAAAGGAAGAAAAAGTAACCGAAAGTTAGAAGATCACGGTGCTCCTCTCATCTTGTGGAAACCCTGAATGTGCGGGTGTCGGTTCTGTTGATTTCAATTAGCTTGTAATTTCAGCACCAGAGAAATGGAATGAAATGTTATTTTTGTCCTAGATCTAGGGTTTATTTGTGTTGAGCATGCCTGGAACTTGCTGATTTTTTTTTTTTATTGCTACGCACTATGTTTTTCTCTTGTTGTGTGTTTGAGGTTTTGTAATCTGAAATTGTGAATAAAGCCTGTGGAGGACCAACTTGACATTCGGTTTCGTACATTTAGCTAAAAATGGAATCTGGGTAGCATTGCCATTTTTTCTAAGGATTTTTTTTGGCATTTTCTGAATTTTGGGGGTGCCACCGGAAATCGGCCATGTGAAGAACAGTTTTAAAAGCTCCCATTTGGTCGATTACGAACCGTTTATCCTTTCGGGTCGATCTGACAGTTTAACTGAGGTCTTAAACCCTCTAGTTTTTGGGCCAGGCCGAACTTTCCTTTTATTTTTGTATAGGCTAATAAAAGAGCGTAACTTAAAAATGGAAATGGGCCAAAGCCCCACCAAACCATATCGGCCCAATACAGTAATTTTGTTTAGGGTGAGCATTTTTTGTTACAAGTCAAGTATGAGTATTATTTGGTATTTGATTTGAAAATTTTTGAATATGATATTTTAGACTTGGTATGTAGCTAAATACTTGAAGAAGTATGTTTAGTATTTAATCGGAAAGATACCAAATGACTTATGAGTATATATTTATGTACTTGTTTTGCTTTAAATTTTTTTTCAAATTAAAATTTAATAAAATATTATTTATTACGATATAAACTTAAAATATAATTTAAAATAGCAATAGAGAACAATTTGGGGTGATATTATTCCCACACCCTCAATTACTAATACCACATCTTTTTATCTTAATTGACTATTATACCCTTCAATTTATTAAGAAACAAAAAAATGTAAATTTTTTAGAAAGAATGTAATATAAGGGTATAATAAATAATTACATTAAAAAGGTGTGACATTAACCATTTAGGATGTGGCAATAACCCCACCCAACAATTTGGTTTCATATACAAAATTCAAATCTATATACAATTAAAAAAATCTAAACTTAGTTAACTAATTAATGATAAAAAATAAAAAATATGTACCAAAAAATAAAAAATAAAAATAAATTAAATAATAGAATGAAAGTATTTCAAAAAAGATATCTAAGTTTTTAGGATTATAGTCCCCCTAATCCTTTATTTAGGTTGTTGGATTTATAATCCTTCCAATCCTTTATTTTGATTTGTTAAAAAAGGATCATGACTGATAATATTGTATTTATTTGGTTAAAATATCATTTTGGTTCTTCAACTTTAAAAAGTACCAAAATTATTCTTAAACTTTCATTTTAGGTACCAAAATGGTCCTTCTGTCAGTTAAGTGCACAGATGGCACGTTAAGATGCAACAAAATCACTGGCTTTTTTGAATCTTAATGACGTGTAAATCTAGCAAAGAAAATCTTGTCACATGGCATTTTTTTTTACACGTCAGATCTTGACAATCTCAGTTTTCTTTTTAGTGGGGCCCACATGGCTTTTTTTAACTTACCCACATGGCTTTTTTTTTCATTCACATAATCTCTTCTTCCTTTTTCACTTTCTCTTTCCTTTGCCTTCCATTTTCCCTTGCCTCTGCAAACTCATATCTGAGTTTTCTCTCAAAATTCATCTTCTTCCTCCTTTCCTCCTCCCTGCTCATCCTTCTTCTTTCTTCTTCTTATTCTTTCTTTCTCTCTCTTCTCACTTCTTCTTCCCTTCTCAAACCCAGATTTGGTTTTTATCACATAAATTTAGGTTTTGCTCAAATTCTTTTCCGCGCTTTTCTCCTTCCTCCAATTGCAATCAAAGAAATCAAATGAAGAAAAGAAGCAAAAATGCAGTCAAGCTCGCAGCAATACCATCTTCAAAGCTGACTCGACGAGGTATTTTTTTTCCCCTATTTTTAATTTTAATTGAAAACAATATTCAATTTTAAGAAAATGCGAACATATAAAGATGGCAATTTTCTCCGCAACCCGCGGAGCTCCGTGGAGATCCCCGCCACGGGGATGGAGATTCCAAGAATATTCTTACTCGTGGGGCGGGGATAGAGGCAATTTTTTACCCGTGAAATTTCGCGGAGAATTTCCTCCACCCCATGGGGATCCGTGGAGATCCGCATAAAAAAAATATATTTATATATATTTTTTGTACATATGTTAACAATTAATTTTTATTTACCCAATTTAATTTTTTTTATTGGAATTTACCCAATTTAATTAGTTAACCCAATACTAACTTAAATTTCACAATCCACTCTTTTTTCAATTTTTCCAAACCCAATTGTTCGGCCCAACCCAATTTTTTTTTGTTAATCTAATATTCTTAAACCTAATTACCCAGCCCAATTTATAGCCCAATTTAGAGCCCAATTACAGAACCCTACAACTACAAGCAGAAGGAAATCCAATATATATAACCGGCTAACCCTAGATGCAGAAGGAAATCCAATTGCCGCTTCTTGCAAATTGCTATCCCACCCTACTCCAGTCATTCTCTTCTCCTCTGCCGCGCCGCTCACCACTGCTGACACCACTCACCTCCAGCTCTAGCTCCAGCTCCAACTTTTGTTTGTTTATTTGTCTGTATGTCATCTTCTATCTTTCATTTTCGCTTCTCTTTTTTTTTCTTTAATTTCTGTACTTCAGTTTGAGCACCAGCATGCATCAGTTAGCTATCACATATGTCCCATTAAATTGCACAGATGGGTACCGTATGCCTATGTGCATCTAATATTAAAATTTTTCATTTGGTGGTTTTGCAACATTCGATCTTTTCAAGCAGCAATAGCTCCCAGCTTGTAAACCTGTCTTGACACCAGCGTGGGTGAGTGCTTGCGATCTTTTGATTTGGTAAACCTGTTTTGATTTGGTGGTTTGCAGCTTTCGATCTTTTTATTTTTTTATGCTTTAGTGTTTAACTAGTAATTTTCATGTTTTAATTAGTAATTTTTAACTTAATTTTTGTGCTTTAGTGCTTAATAAGTGGTTATAATCAAGTACTGTCATTGGTGGTTGAAGTCTAGCAGGGTTTCTGATAAGTCTTTTATGTAAAACTAAAACGAATGGTCTGTTTTTATTGTGGTGGGGATGTGTCTAATGATGTACTATCAATATTCCAATGTGGACTAATAACTCTTCCACTAATACTAATGATGTACTATCAATATTCCAATCCGATACAGGTACTGATGTCTCTTCAAGATTGGTTGAAGAAAGATCTTAAATGTATTAAATTAAGGCTATATTTCTCTTATTTTCTTATTTTTGAATTTGTATTCTAAACTTTTATTATGTTTGCAATTCAGGTTCTGACAATAATGGGAATTTCTTCAATCTATTTGAGGAGTTGGAGGAGAATGATAATGAGGAGGATGAGTCTGAGGTAAATTTTAAACAATAATGTTTTTTTT